ATCTTAAAAGTAGTTTGAGAAGGTGTTTTATTCAAATCATATTCAGGAAGATTTTTCAAACTTCCCTTGTATTTTTTCATAGTCATTTAACATTCTTGTGAATAGGGTGTGATTGTCTGTAATTTGACCTAACCCAGTCACTAGACTAATAGAACATGGCAGGGCGTGTGTCTATACACTTTTATCTTTCTGTCTTGGGCAGTCACAAGTAGGAAGACTCAACTTTCCTTAAATTATCATTCAGACTGATCCATGATCTGTGTATCTAGAAAACAAGGATGGTTAAACTGCACTCTTGGTTAAGCTCAACACAGTTTGACTAGACAGATTAAACTTGCAAGTGGAGAGAAATGTCCATTTTATCATTGGTGCAATCTTCTGAAGGAGGTAAACTGTGGATGAAAAAAATATGTGCTGAAAAGTACTCATTTGTTCACTATACTTGTCATACATCTAGCCATTGGCAATTCATGCTAGATGCTAACAGCAGACCTAAGACTGCCTTCATCATTCTATAGAGCTTATACGACTTTTGTGTCATAAAATACAGACCTGTGTAAACACCATCCATACCTTAAAAGTTGATAACAATAAGATGGCTGCTGTGGGAGAGATGTTTCATCTTTGTGTATGATATTCTGGCATTTCGCTGCATGTTTCATGTCTTTGCTGAAAACACTAAAATGGGATTTCAGTGGATAAAGAAGGCAGGATTTTAATTTAGGCTAACAAAGAGTGCACTTGTGTATTTTAGGTGGTGTTTCTTTGCCACATTATAGAAAATAGTGTGAAATTGTGAAGTGAATAAAAATTCATATACCTATGCTGAATGATTAAAGAAAGTATTATGTTTCTCATTTTCTGGAGTGGGGGGCAAGTTATTTTTTGTTTTATTATTAATATTTTTTGACTAAAATTGGATGCTCTGCTATGCTTCTGAAACTATTGTCACCTTGTTTTGAACAGACAACACCACTTATTAAGTCATTTGACGTGCATTCTGGGAGGTGTATTTCAAACTGGAGAGCATGTCTCTATTTGCATTGATTCAAGGCTTCCCCAGAACTACAAATCCTGATGTGCAAATACTCAGTTCTTAACTAAAGAAACAAATTAACCCACCTCACCGACGTTGCTGGGAATAAAGATAACTGAAGAAAAGAATACCATGTGAAAGCTCACAAATGTAATGTACACATTTAATATATCTTATTTTTAGAGTACAGTTCAACATTGAGAAGAAAAAGAATTTTGTTTTCTTTTTTTCTGTTAGCCCTGTAAATAAGATGATGAGAACAGTGCCTTTGAGTTCTTTTGTTTCAGTGAACACACAAACAATGCTCCATTCTTATGTACTAATCAAATCAAAATGTAGGCTACCATTGGTTGAATCCACATGCAGCCATTCCACCAATCAGGCCAAGGAATAAACAATCGATCAAAACATGTCTTCCACAATCCATCGGGATACTATAAAAAATCTTCAACAGCTTACGCGTGCTGACTTGAAGATGAAAGACAGAAGACTTTTGAAACGTTGTCTTCTGCACTTGTGTTTTCTACAACAGGCAGTTGCTGCCCATTCCAGTGTACTCATCATGAATACTCTGCCTGAACAATCTATCAAATAATAAGTATTAAGTAATTGTTTAAATTCTATTTCAATGATTATTTTAATAATCAAAATTTGATTGAAATTTCAATTAATCACTCAATACTAGTGTATAATATAATTCACAGCATGTGTGAATTCCAGTGGAAGGCCCATTTCAACTTCAGTTTCCTGTAATTACTGTATTTTCATGTTATAATAGATAGCAAAGGTTTCACAGCTCACAGGTGGCATCACAGTAGCAAATAATAACCACAGGTGTTGGCAGTTGGGTGCGATAGTACATGTTATTTACTGTACATTGTTTGCATGTCAGTATTGGTTTGTCATATACTACAAGTATATACATTTATTAAGTAAATGTTGTTATGGCATCACTTGTATTATAAGTTGCATGTATTTGTTTGTGTATTTTCTTTTATGTACATGAACGTAACTATACAGAGAGCATAATTTTTGCTTTGAGTGTTGAAATATTTGTGTTTAGTAAACAGCACAATGATTAACTCCTACCAGTGTGTTTTATGTTTGCTTGATATCTTTGGAGAATATATTTGGTTTATTTTCATAAACTGAAGTATTCATAAGTGTGTAATTTTTCACTGAAGAAAATGAAAGTCATGGTTTGATATACACCACATAAGTGAGAAATATGGTATATCCATTGGTAGTGTGAAGTAATATGCTCAGTTGTGGATGATTGAAATATCTGTAAATTTTGTGACTTTGAATATGATAAAATCCTGAATATTGGCTTGTTTCGTACTATAATAACATGTAGGTTTCTTGGTAGTTTTGAGTTAGTATAACTAAACTGTTTCCAAGCTTTTGTTAAATCTTTTCTCAATATATAACTTTAAAAGTAGAAGCAAATTAGACGTGATGATATTGTTTTCATTCAAGCTTGAAACAGAAGCAAGTTAGAGTTGGAACATAGCCATGTAATATTTGACTCCTCAGGGTCAAGAAAAGTGGCCAGTGCTTGTAAAGTTGCTGACCAAGCTGCAGTAACAAATATAGGACCATATTAGGAATGTCACACCCCATTTGAGGTGGCACTCTTCTTTCACAACTAGACAATGTTTGGAAACTCCTTGTGTATATGGGTTAGTACCAGTTCTGGCCTCCAGCTGTGCAGTGCTAGGCAATGGCTTGGTATGGAGTGTGACTGTGTAGTGGGTTCATTAGAAAACTAGTTCAACATCTGGGAAAAAAATTTAAACTGGAGAAATTGCATTTAATTTTTATGATAACTCGTAATGTGTTTTCCTTTAACCCTGTACTGCTTGCTGAACTTCTGAGCTATCAGAGGCTGAATAAACTCAGAGTTACAATCCTAACTTTTACTATTAAAAAACAACAACAAAAGGCATGTTTCTTGATCACTGGTTATTTTGATTTTGATACTGAGTAGCCAGCTACACCTGTTCATGTTACCATTGTGCCAAAGTAATGGAAGACTTCTTGCTCTTTGATTATGAACATCACACTGACACTGCCAACTCCTTGTGGCATGCATAAAAAATGTTTTTTGCATATAGAGGGAAGCATTGAACGAGAATAGCTATTTATGTGAGTGGAGGTAAGTACCTGTTGGAAATACATTTACAGTATAAGAAAGTTATATCTTTTCATAAATTCTATATATGTCACAAGATATCGGAATAAGATTATTAACACTACATTATTTATTTTGACACCATATATTTCTTTCCATATGGGCATCATTTTCTGGGCATATCACATGGTTTTACTGAGTTACTTTTAATTAAAGTACTATATTTTCATGGTATATGAATAGACTTGGCATTAAAATGCACCCAATTATCCATATTTTAATGTTATACAAGTTTTAGGTTCTGAATTTTATAAGGCAATATTTAAAAAAAATCATCAATGTGACATTTGTTCTCTAGACATCCCCTCTTCTCTACTTTATATGCCACTCCTTCAAGAAGTATGAAATTTAATGTAAGTTACACATTATAACACTGTCATTGCTTGCATAAAGCATAACTTTTATAGGCTTCAATTTTACTTGGTCAGAGAGCCATTAACTATAAAATGAGACCTCTCTTGCCATGCTCACCTGTCACATCCTCTCTGGTGTTTATTACTATGTTATTTATGACCAATAGAAAACCAAAGTTTTAATCTATCAAATGACATATTAAATTGTTTTCTGTACAGGGAATTGCCTGTTTTGCTTTCAGTTCAAACTTTATTCCCACAGGAAACACGTCAATGAGCTTAGCAGAATTTTTAACGGCTTTGTTGCATAGTTAGAAAGCCCAAAACATTGTGATAGTAGGATATTGTCTGTTTTTATTTATCTGTTATTACTGTGTTCTTTGGTGCTTTATTTAATTAAATTATTTCATGCAGTAGTACTATTAGTATAAATACGTAGGGATAAGTTTCATTGAGAGTTGATTAAAAATACAAAATGGACCCAGCTAAGTACTATATTTCTTGTTTATCATGTGTATTTCTTATTATAAAAGTAACCCTTTTTTCTTTCTAGAATGACTTCAAATTGTAGCATGACACTACAGTTGTTTATCCTAAATAAACTCATAATAGTATACATCTGTTTCTACTTAAATTTCATTGTTTTATTGTCCCTTGGACCATATCTACCTAATTTTCCCACAACATAAATTGTAAGTAATTTGGGAAACATGTAGCTCACATTACCCTAAGAATTACAGTAATACATGAACTACTTGCAAATATACCTCATAAAAGACTTTTCTTTTTTTTATTTTACCTAATCTAACCTAAAAAAAGTTTATAATTTTTACATTTCCGTAATTTAGATTTATTTTTGATTTATTGTTTTGGTGGTTGCGAGGCCAGTCAAGTTGATCAACCTTGTATAGAGTTAGGATAGAGGAAATAACAGGTAAAATATAAAGTTTTACTGAAAAAAAAAAAACGTTTGAAATGTATTTAACAGATTTTATAGATTATGTGAAATTTGAGAATTTTCAGATGAAGCAAAGTATTTTTAATCTTAACATGAAAATTACTTTGCACTTAGAGCAGTCAATGCTTTAGCTCAGTATATTCACAGAGAAATTTTTAGTGAAAATACTTTATTAAAAATTCTGATCTATTGACTACAAAAAACTCTTCATGCTTACTGAAAGCTTGCAAAATTTTTTAAGATACTTATTAGAAGTTATAGTATGGAAACTATAAATGTTAATTTATGGTCACAAACTTGGCTGATTTGGCTGAGCCTGTAGCGAGAGTGATAATATTAATTACTATTTTCTTAAATTAACCTGCTCTTTATTCATATTATCTGGTGAATCAGCAAGCTAGTCTTTTGAACTTATATGTGGCTATATTCAGATAATGATAAATATTATTTTGACATTAGCTGTCAAGTTTGGAAGGATGTCCAAGAAACAAAGAGAAAAGGTAGAAGATGAAGTTAGATTTCATAGATCCCAACTAGTCCGTCCTCATTCTCAGCAACAAGGCCCAACACAACAACATCCAGCACTACCACAAACCACTGAGACCTCCCCAGATAGTTCCGTCTTTGACCAGCAACAACCGTCCTCATCTAATCAACATCAACCTTACATTAATGGAGGGTAGGTAACTGCAAATAGAAATGTTTAATCAATATTAAGTCAACTAATAAGTCACTAATTTAGAAATTTTCAACACATTTACTGCATTAAATTTTGTAATTGAGTTATTACAAAATGAAAATTGTAGGAGTTTACCCACTAAATATACTATTATAGTGTGATGTGAGAGAACTTGTAAGTAAAGGGAGACTGTCATTTACCCTACAGAAATAATGCTGTGTTTTAATTCTCATTTATTCCTCACAAAATAAATTAGTTTAATGTAACTATTCTTTAGGCATAACTTAATATACATTATTCATTTGATCATTATATATTAGGTTGTCAAGAAATTAAAAATTAAATTGTGCTGAAAACAAACTTTATTTCCTTCAAAATATAGACGACTTAACTCTGTCATTACCAGTGTTTCTATATTATTTAAGCGAGTAAACTTTTGTAACTATTAATATGGAAAGTTCTCCAAATATATACCTGGCTTTGAAGAGGTTAATGACGAAAATAACTTCAAATGAATACATAAGTAAGGTTTTATACTTTATATTTGGTATCATTTTTTATAGTTTCTTATATTAGGTCATCTAGAAATTAATGTCGTGTTTTGGAACACTATCATTAACCAAGCCCCAAAAAACGTACATCACATATAATAGTTAAACAAACTGCCTAAACGTCACATTAGTGTAGCCTATATAATGTGTAAAGTTTAGTATACTCTAATCCCTTATAGTGAAA